CTCTGAAATTATACTAATAATAATTATTATTATAATATGAACTAATTGACTGAGTGGAAGGGCCGTGTGGGAAAATATTTGGCTTGAGGTCATGCCGTACGGACCAAGCACACCGAGGTCCATTCCTCTTGACCGACCGAGAGCCAAATATTTTCCCGTGCAGCCCGACCAAACTCAGTCAATAAACATTTTATCACTAAGTGCTGAAAATTCCAACCTAAATATGGCGCGATAGACGGGCACATGCAGCCACACGAGCACAAAAAATAACTGCAATGCAATGAAAACTTTCTCTTTAATTTTTTTCACATCAGAACAAGAAACCTCCAATTCCTTTAAGTGTTTGCAACAAAGCGACGCTAGGTCAGCAGGGCTGGACGGCTTTTACGGGACAGGCATACTTCAACCCGTCCGGCCCTGCATACGTCAAGTTTTCTATGAGATTGTGCGAACGCAGCCGGACCAGGGGTCACATGATAATAGTCTTTATTAATTCATATCACGGTAAAAACTACATTTCTTATGCTACAAAACTTCCAAAAGATACCACATACAAAGATAGGTCATATTTAAAATTAGTCGATTAGAATAGGAGTTCTAATTCTTTGCTCGATCCGTGTTTAATTTCGGCAGGAGACTGGACTTTTTTCTCAGATTGTATTGTGTGACTTTCAATATAAGATTTCCCCAAGCATATTTTTCTTGATATTTTACCTTGTTTTATTCATGTACAACTGGAGAAAATAATGGGACATTGTTTTCTCTTGTGTACAGTCATCCCATACAATAACAGCAAAATCAAATACAACAACCAAAGATCGATTCAATTTCATGGCAAAAACAGAAAATTACGTAAAGAAATACTTTGTCTCCAATAGAGCTTTGTAGCCGCCCACCCCGCGGTTTGGGCGGGTAAGAAAAGATCTACCGGGTATTTTTCTGTAAACGGTGATAACTCATTAACCTGCCGAGTTTCTCTGCTTTTCCAAATCAAGAAAAAATTATTACTCTTCACTATTTGAAATGAAATTTAGAACTCAGTGGTGAGATGAATGCGTCAGGGAGAAGATTTTCCTCTACTTAATCTCAAGCTGTAAAGATTCAAGTTTTGAGTGCCTCATTAGTAAAACTTTGACAATTTCTTACTATTTATTTTTGCCAGCTATGGAATGCATCAGCTTTTGTTATCTTCTGGAATGTGATGTAGTCACTATAAACATTTTGCCACTGACACTTATTGGTCATTTGACACAGTAGCAAACTAAACTGACCACAGTTTAGTTCAAGTATAAGACATACCTTTAGCATTTGCTTGTAGAACCAAAAATATGATTAAATACGCTAGCGATAACGCTGGCACCCAATATAATTTCATTGAGATTATTCAGTTTACCGCTGGTATCTTTGTTGCAAATATCATTGAATAGTGCTTTACTGTGTATAGAAATAAGTTCTTCCCAAATTAATTAACGAGCTTCAAATTAGGTCATCCAACAGGTGAAAGTATAGAAACAGCACTTGAAAAGAAGCAAGCATTTGACATTTTCTCGTTAATGAGAGTTACATCATTTAATTAAAATGGCTCAAGAGATGGAGTCTGTTGCCAGTTAGCAGGCTCATGCTGACAAATTTGTACACTTAAAAACTCTCTTTTGCTAACATCCACTCTCTTGGATTTCTTTTTATTCATCTCCTTTTTTTTCCCCTCATATGTTGGCAGCGGAGATTCCGCTCAGATGTACGCTGTCGTATCAAAAGCGTAGCAAACAGAATTTGGTTTTACATTTTCATTTAAATCATGCATGGCGGAATTTACAAATTAACAAATTAACAAATTGAATTGAGCTTCGTTCTTCAATGAAAGTAGGTCAGTTAATTTTGTTTTCAGATGAATTCCACCACCGGCAAACTCTTTGTTTGTTTGGCAAACTCTTTGTTTGTTTCATTCCGTGATCATCCGTGAGCTTTCAATTTACCTTTTTTTGGAATCGTGCATAATTCACGCCTTTTTTTTTTTGCTAATTTTCTTGACCTCCTCCAAACACCTTCACTAAAGATCCACGTGGAATTGAAGTCAAAATTCGTTCAATGCAAATTCAGTAAAAAACTCAGTTCTTTTGCAATTTTTTCTGGAATTCACTAACAATCCCACATCCTTTTAACTTTCTCCAAACACCCTCTCGAAAGATGCTGGTGGAATAAAGGACAAAAATAACAAACAAGCTTATTGTTTGGCATTTAGGACACTATAAAAGTAAAGTTTTTTTTGTCGAAAATTAAACTGTTTGAGGAACTGGAAAACTTTGATTCTGAGTGAACTTCCCGCATTTTTATCACCTTACTGGAGACAACATAACACCAAGGATCAACTGTAGTCACAGAAAAAAAGAAAATTATAATTGTAATTAAAATTATAATTTATTACAATCAATTCTCCATGGTTTCCTATTTCTCGTAACACTAACTCAAGGTACTTTTCGGTAACTGGACTAGGGTTTCCGAACACGTCATTTGAAGCGTGAAACTTTCAGCTATTCACGCGATGCACCTGAAGAGGAAAAAAGCATGAAGGACAAATAAATCAGTTAAACCAATCCCCACTGGTCGCACGCGTTTTCCCCCACTTTGGACAGTTTGTTTGGTTTAAATTTGAGTTCTTACTGGTTCTTAAAACCCACTTCGAACGTTGAACTTTACATGAAACGAATGAAAACGAAAGAGTTGAGTTTATGTTAAGTTCGACGTTTGAAACAGTTGAGTTCGTCCCACTGAATTTGGATCGACTAACACGTTCTGTCCGTCTGCTTCGGACCGATAGAACGCGCGAAGATGGACTGTCGGACAAACGCTGATCTTTTCATAGTCTCCAAACGGCTACGAGGTCTTATCATGAACTGAACTCAATGAAAAAATTACAAATTGCTTTATTTGAAATTCCACTGACCTAAAGATTCCTTTTTGCAGTTCTGAATTTGGTTCGATGAATTATGTTCGACTTTTGACACAGCAGTCGAACGTTACCTGTTTGGGTTGACCGAATTTGCAATTTAGTTCGTCTCATGCGAAGTTCGACGTTTGAACTGGGCAGGGGACTGGCCTAAGGATATTTCCTGTAATCTAAATAGTCGTTGTGATAACTTTGGCTCTGGTTTTTCCCTCAGGCGAGTGTGAATAAAACTCTTGTTTGGACAGGAGCACTTGGTTTTATTAAGTAGTAATGTAAACTGGCCACCCCCAGGGAGTTTCTTAAGCTGACGGTTCGAGCGTTAGCCCGTCATCATAGCGAAGCCCTTCATGTTGGGACAGGTCATGGAGTAGGCCGATTGCGCAACTTGGTACTCGAGGGAGTGTTTTACAAGGGAAAAAGATAAAGGAAGAACTTATCTCGAGAAAAAAAAAAAAAGAATTTCGTCTGTCCTTTAACCATAAGAAGTGTTCAAAATGTTTCTAACCGGCGGGAATTTCGATACATTATCTAGTAATACGGTCCACAAGAATTGCTACATTATCTTGATATTACACGAACTTTTTAAACTAACTTTGAAGGAAATTTATTCACGAAATTGAGACCGTCATGCAAGAGGCTCAAGTTTTTTCGCATATCAAGGATTATAAAACTTCCGTATAAATGTTTCCCATTCTTTGGGGCCCCTGACAAAAGGTTACTTATATTTGTAACCTCTCTTATTCTAAATAGGTGTAATAATAATATTATTGTCAGCATTGATTCTTTAAATTTTTATTTCCAATGATTTGAAGAGAAACCTAAAAATTGCATTTTTTATGTTTAAGCCTAATGATATTCTCTCCCACGTATTTTTTAGTGCTGTCTTGAGGATCCGAAGACTGAATCGTTTACATCATGTAAAAGTCAGTTCCCTTTTCGTCAAGATAAGGAACCAGCGCTCTCCGAATTCTTCCGATGAATCTTCGGCACCGCGATACTCCATGCGCCATTTCTTGATCGGTTAAACTGCACTTTTTTTTAATTGGAAGTTGCTTCCACTGAAATCAAACTGACGGAGTTCATGAATGACGAGTTCTTTCAGTTTTTGCACCAAAATTTCATGCCAAGACAATTAGGCTATGTCAGTAGTTGTCAGTACTAGCACCATCAGCTGGGCTACGGAGATTATTTGGCTTAAACTGTTGACTCCTGAAACAAAATTTCGCATAGTAAGATATTCTACCCATTTTATTTAAGAGACAGGCGTGAAAAGCGAGAGTTGACAACAGCGAAGTGAAGGAGTTCCTCCAACATCCCAGGTGCGTTACCAAACCAGTAAAAGCAATAAAATAGCTATGAGTTTACCGGTAAAACAAACGTTAGGTTTTTGAAAAAAGGAACTAAGCATAGTAGCTTAGGTATTTCAGAACGTCTTTGGAGCAATAAACAACAAGATATAACTGAGTCAGGTGATTCGGTGGGATTCCTTTACTCTTTAGAATATGAAAGCAGAACAAGACGAAAAAGGAGAAATTAGAAACAATCCCATGAAAGCGTGTGAGCAGAATGGTGCAATATGGACTTGTGATTTTAGTCTACAAGACACCATCCAATATCACACGTTCACTCCCTTTTCATGGAATTAAATTCTTCTGTTTTTACCATTGACGTTCTACGTGTCATTCCTGCAGCTTGACGTTCCTGCGCATAACCGTTGAACGGAACCATCTAAAAAATATATTAATAATAAAAACAAAACTCTTAAATCGGAAGCAGAGGAAATAGCGAGTGTACTCTATTTTAGTTGTATGGTTGCTTGTCATTCGCTACCAATCTTAAAAACAACACGGTAAAAATCTGTCAAACCGGAGTCTCTCTCGCGAGAGCTGGCTTTTCATCTGTAGCGGAAGTTGATGGTTTTCCAGCCGGAGACATTTCGGTCAATCTTTGATCAAGTCTTCCCAGCAAACGGATAATATTTTGTAACCTGTGGGGAGAGATAACTTTATTTTACCGTACTCATTTACATTCCTGCAAGTCATGTTATCTTAAACTTCCGAATAAACTTTGTTCTTCCAGAAATTTCGAATTGATAAGCTTTGCACGTGGGTCACTCTTTTTAAGAGTTTTCTCCACTACAGTTGAGAGTCACACAGCTATTCTTAACCAAAGTTTTCATGGTAATGAAATTGAAAGGCATTACAAAAGTGGTAAGAATTCCAGTTTTATGTCAGTTAGAAGATTTAACAGGTACCTTTATTATCTCCTTCGTTTCATATTTCCTTTTCTTCGCCTTGTTATCTGCAACTTCGCACTGAAGGTGCTGCCCGGGCAAAACCAACAAACGAGAACTACACAAGGATCTAATCGCGCAAACTGCCTGGGACGCAGGAAGACGTGGGTGGTCAATAGGCGACCAGTTTACATGACTTTAAAACTGATATTTTTATTGTGTCGCCGGTTTGCCGCACCAATCATGAAATTCTGGATAACTTTCAAAGCTAAGATAGAGCAATTTAAAAGAAGCAAGAAAGAAAATACATTTGAGCATAACTAACTTGTCCTCTTGTTGATCAACTTTTTCCGCTAGTTTAGTAACTTTGTCACTGATCTGAACCAGAGCGGGATTGACATAAGTCTGTTGATTTGCTGTGTGTCTCTTGGGCGAACCAAATTCTACCAACTGTGCACAAAAACATAAATAATGTTTTATGATTAGCAAGAAAGTCACCAAGGATTATTTCATTCTTCCCTCAGAAATATTTCCTGCTAGCCGTGCATAACAACTTGGTGTAAAACTGTTGAAAAACGAGTTTGAAAGCACGTTGTAACTATGAGAGGGACGCGTTGCCCTAATAATTAACGTATTTTACTCCCTATCTAGAGGTCGGAATTCAAATCATAGCCATTTCACTGAGCGATAAAACTGACATCCATCGAGGAGCACAATGGCTGTCACTGTCACTGTCACCACGAACAAAAAGAACAATGGATGAATTGCCAACGGGGGGGGGGAGGGGATTGTTGCGGGAGCCTGCCATGAAACCACCAAAGTAGGGTGATAATAGGGAAATCGGAGTTAACTCTGTTAGTGACAAGCTCTAGGCTTGAAAAACAAACCCTCTCTACGTTTCTCTAATACATGGTTATATATCTACTAGAAGACAAACTCACCTTTTGTCTCCATGTACGCTTTTTGTTGGGGTATTCCACACAAAATGCGACATAGATCTTTCTAAGAACTTTCCTGGGTGTGGCTCTCTCTAATTCTAGAAGCAATTCAACCTTAAAGGAATAAACAATAGAGTCAGACCCCAAATGAAATATTTGTATAGTTATGTTGAGTAAGGTCACAGTTGCATTCGAAAGTGCAATGTTATATGTAAATTTAATTCGTTAAGTTGATATTTTCGATTTATCTGTTCAAATCTCATCACTTCTAAGTTTTCAGGTGTAATTGTTATGGACAAGTTCGGGGGAAAACATCAGTGCTTCTGCGATGAAACAATCTGTTTATTGATCTCTCTCGATTCTGATGCTATTTTCGGCCAAAAAGTACTGTGCCAATTAATACAGCTAAATTTCAAAAATTAAAAAAAAAACTCGGTCATTTTTTAACCAAGATTTAATTGCCATTGCCAGACCACGTCGTCGAATAGCATTGCTCGTAATATTTAAACTGATTGAAAATTAAAGTATATGCTATTGAAAAAACTGTACAGGCTGAAGTCTTCCCAACCAATGGGTGCAAATTTGATACTGAAACGTCACAATTTTGCACCAACCTGCATTCCATGCTGTTCCATTTTTGCAGATTGTAGAATCCTATTAACGTCACCAACCGATAGACCGATCTAGAGGATGAGGGAATGTTTTCGATCTAGAATACGTCTAAACTAGGTCGAAACTAAGCAAAGATATTCCAGTTTCCCTTACCGTGCCAAAAATATGCCGTTGATTTTCTTTCACTAGGTTGCCTAATGGCAATTCTGTATAGCATTGCATTGTGCATCATTGCTGCACATGATTTTTACGTATAACTAGTACGGCGAATATTAACGCTGGACCTCGTGAGTAGGGTACATTATAACAAATGTATATCAAACAAATGCGGCGACTTCTCTTTTTCATTAGTGTTATCCATTTGTTATAAGCCCACATAAAACATATTTGAAGAAGAGAAAAAATGAGTTAGTTAACTTTTAAACGTTCCTCTACAACTGCAGGACACCTTGATGAGGGAATGCAGACGAAAACAAACAAGCAACGTATTTATGTTGTTAAGTCCCGTTATCCTATCCACAGCTATCTATTATGCCAAATTGGAAGAATTATCTAGATATTGCATCCTTTTACTTTAACTAGAGTACATAAAAAAGAAACAATAGCATAAACAATAACTTGCGAGGCCTTTGTTTCTAAATTCCGGGGTAAAAAGTAAATGAGCTAGAGCAATATTCCCTGTGGAATAAAGAGGGCAAAATGTCGTCCGATCAAAATCAACCAGTAAATCGCGCGAGAACAATAAGCATTCTGCCCAATGATTTATTACACACTCAGTACTTAGGAACTTACTAAGAGGTTCTTGATAATGATTGGCATACAGACACAGAAGATGATGTACACAACATAACTTATCCACGGGTAGGGTATCGGTTGATACTTGAACACGGTATGCGGGTATTTCATTTCACCAAGAATCAACATGAAAGTTGTGAACAACGAGTAAGGAAGACGGTCAAATAAGTATTGCGTTGCTTCGTTTGATTCATCCTGAAATTAATGATATATTGGATGTGATCATTAGGACATGAAAAGGGAAAAATTCGAATAAATCTGGTTTTGGTTAAATAAACTCGTTGAAAATTGGTGAACTTTCCATTAAGATGAAACACAAACAATGAGAACGATAAAGAAACTGAAAGTCAGTTAGATCAAGGAGCCGTTCAGACGGATAGCTAGATGTAAAATTAACACTCCTTTAACACAAACAAAATCAGACACAGAGAAAGGCAGATTAAGGGACAAATGTGTACTGGTTAATCCAGGTTTCCTCAAAAAGAACTAACAGGCTTAGCCATTGTTTTATTTCATTGTTTCACTAAAGGCGATTTAAGTAATCAGAGTGTCGAGCAAATAACTCACCTTAAATCTTTCTCGTAACAGAAGAAAAAAAGGAATGCCAAAAGCAATTACAAAGGGAATGAACAAGATAATGATCTAGGGAGAAGAAATGAAAGTCCATTAAAGAGGTATCAAAAAATACACTGCTTCAGTTCAAGAAATATCGTCCAAAAAATGGAAACATTTTAATATAAAGTTCTTACCTTAACTAACGTTTTGATAATATTTGTCATCATTATTATATAAATACCAAACGTCGAGAACCTGAAAGCAGAATGAAGACAAAAAGATAAATTAGAGAGACAACGAAACTTTGTCGAGCAACCTTTTTCCACAGAAATGCACAAATTTGGTTCAGGAATTATATACAATGTTTTCCCTGAAAGTCTTTGGGGGATTTTTTTCAAGGTTAAGACTACAACGTCATACCGTCTAAACCTGCAGGTTTAGATAAGAAGTAATAAAACGATTGTGCGGAAGAATATTTTGAAGTTCCTAGCTCTTTCCGTAAGCGGGAGGCTTAAGCATCATTTCAACAAATTTAACTCATTTTTCTATTTACTTCTATCAAAATAAGTCAATTTAAATTGGGGTTTCTGAGTAAGACAAGTAGTTACCTTCTTAAATAAAGCACAAATATAACCCAAGCGATAAATATGGCCGTAGCAGCGACTGCCTTCAGGCTGTACGAATAATGATCTTTTGCAGTGTTGGGATCCATTTTTCCACTGTATTGGAACATATAGACAAGACTTGTCATGTACAAAAACCACTCCATCCAGTTATCTATCTTCAACAAGTACTTGAATTTCTGAAGGAGACAGAAAATATACTTGCAGTTGTTTTGTTTTAAGGGAGATGTACTGATAACAAAAACATTCTGTACTTGAAAAATTTAAAGCTTCTGTCTATTTTCCTGCACAAAAAAAATGAAGGAAACATAGCTGGCAAACGTGAAGTATAGATTTGGGAAATATCAATCTGTTCGGTGCAGCTGTGATTGTTTCCAGTTCTTTATAAACTCGACCCTTCTCCCTCTTTGATAAGCCCTTGATAAGTCTGGCACCCAGACCTCCCACAGCCAAGCGGTACAGTTAGGTAGGATCTGGTTACGAGATTGCCCGTTGCTAACCCGGCCCCCTCTCTATAATTAACAATTATTCCACGAGTGCGCGTTGGATATGAGATGATAGAYAACCAACGAGGCGCGTAGCGCCGAGTTGGCTATAATCATCTCATATCCAACAAGCCCGAGTGGAATAATTGTTTTATTAAAAAAAAAAACGCCCCCAAGATATTAGACAAATCTTCTCGACTTTATTTTGTAAGAAGAAACCGGATGTTACAATGTACAGATATTAGATTATGGTATATTGGCTCATATACCATAATGGCTTAGCCAGCAAAAAGTCTTCAATTGCATTATCCAATGATCCAGTTTTGATTAATAACTTATATTCCTCCCTCTTTCTCATAACTTCTCTTCTCTCATTATATTAGACAAATCTTCTCGACTTTATTTTGTGAGAAGAAACCGGATGTTACAATGTACAGATATTAGATTATGGTATATTGGCTCATATACCATAATGGCTTAGCCAGTAAAAAGTCTTGAATTGCATTATCCAATGATCCAGTTTTGAATAATAACTTATATTCCTCCCTCTTTCTCATAACTTCTCTTCTCTCATATATATAATTATATATATAGGCCCCCACCCCCTTCATGTAATAACCCTCATCTCTCCGATAACCGCCTTTTCGATTTCAATGACCCCTGAAAGCTAAACTAACCGGAGGTAGAAGTTCAAAGCCACTGTTTATCTTCTCTTGATGTCATTTTCAGAAGTTTCCATTATTCCTTTTAGCCTTACCTCGTCCCATATTTGGAATATTTCTTTCAACAGATGGAACAGACTCATGACTACAATTGTGAAGCGTGGAATGTCAAGAAGAGAAGTTGCCTTTTCTTCGTCTTCAAGTAAAACAGTCATTATGGTCAGCATGACTAAGAACAAAATGTAGAATCCTAGGTTCATTGTATAGGCTTTCCATCCCACACTCCTCCTAAAAGGAAATTATTGAAAGATTTTTATTCACAATTTATCTTTTTAGAGGCAAATGCAGTGGTCTAATGTTTAGCTCACTGGTGTTTGCGTCAGGAGGTCCGTATTTAAGCTCTGGTAATGACACTCGTGTTGTGTTCGTGAACAAGATAGTTTATTTTCCCAGGGCACCTCCTCTTTCAAGAGTATACATGGGCAACAGCTACAGGGAAACTCGACAAATTTCTCATGAAGGCGTGAGAGCCTGCGATTGACCAGCTTCCCTTCGTGGGGTTAGACATATTTTCCTATTCCCTCTATACTGTTGAACTTATGGCAGAAGCCTCCTCTCCACCTTTTCAGTTGAATTTAGGAATTTAGGAGTCTTACCACTTTATGTTCATGATCGCTCCTGTTACAGGATGTGATAAACAGTTGACTCGTTTGTACTTCACCATTGTCTAAAAGACAACAGTAACACAATTAAACCCAATCAAATCTCCAAGAATGTGTTTGTACAGAAATAAAAGCTTAGGCTAAAACTAAAAGTCTTCATAATAATTGTAGAAAAAGAGGTGAGGGATGGGAGTCCAGATTGTAACGCAGACAACGCACTAAACCAGAGGTCTTAAAACATTTCTCTCAAGTAAACAACAACAACAACAACATAGTGAACATGCAAGTAAACATCAACAATAAAAACACAGTGAACATGCAAGTAAACATCAACAATGCTAACATAGTGAACATGCAAGTAAACAACAACAACAATAACATAGCTAGTCAACACGCAAGTAAACAACGACAACAGTAACATAGTGAACATGCAAATAAACAACAACAATAGTAACATAGTGCCGGAACATGCAAGATTCTTTTCAATCAGATGTTTGAAGCCTACATGAAGGCTGTCCAGATACTTCTTGGGATCGTGTTTCCTGAGGTCCGGCATGCCTTGTAGCAACATAAAGTCGTACGTTATCTAGGTAATAAGATAAAAAAAAATGCTATCACTCAGAGACATCAGAGGAACCATTATAGGCTCTATAATACATACACGGAAACGTATAAAAATCCATGAATAACTGAATCAAACTCGGCCAATTTGCAATTTTACTAAAATTTTTGAAACACATTGCATATGACCGAGAGATTATAAATCTCTTCATATGGCACATCGAGAGCGGATCATTTTGCCATAGGCGGAAATACTTACCGAATAATCTTCACTTTTTTCTTTATCTCCTGATTCCTCAACACATTTATCAAGAAATTTCTAAAAAAACAAAAAGGAATATCACCTTTTGACTCAGAACTTCCATTTTCTCGCGTTAGTTCAAAAATCGAATAACATCTTTTAATTATTTCTTCTACGACCAAACCCGGAAAAATTTACCACTTTTGTTTTTCTATCTACAAGATATTCCCTTTATTTTCATGACTTGCTTGCAATATTTATGGGGAATGATAAATCTCACCGCCACTAGCTCAGATTTTCTCGCTAATTTTAGCTTTTTTGGAATTTCAAACAGCCTTTTGCCCTTTAAACAACACTTTTTCTCCGGCAAATTAGTAAAGTTTTCGTTCTAAATCTCAGGGAAAATTCCCCTTTAAAAAGGAAAAGTAAACACGAGTTAATGGAATCCACTGGTCTGGAAGAAAGTTACTCAAAAGTGTAGAGACAGTATCCTTTTATTCTCGTCATTCAAATCTTCAGTCTTCGTTGCATGCATGTTTATAATCATTTTTGAACAACTCAGGCACTGCGAATTTTTGATAAAAGGTTGAATTAGAGCTGAAACCGACCTCCGCAGCCAATGGCATCTTCATAATAAGGCTCTGTAGTTGAGTAAAGCCTTCTTCAACTCTATGACACAATTCCCTCCACCTAAAAATAGTAAAGGCATTTGGATGATCATCTTACTCATTCTATCCTTATCGTTTAGTATTACTGGTTCCTGGGCAAAATACACTTGATAAATTTGAGGAGAATGGAGTTTATATGAAACGCTTTCACCAATCTTTTCCGTTCCCCGCAAGGAGCCTCTTTGATGTTTCATCAGAGGGCTGGTGTATCGCCCCATAAGTTCCCGAATTTCCCGAGTGCTGTTGCTGAGAACAAGTGCCTACTTCAACTCAGAAAATTCAATTCAATACTTTTCACGTGTACACACGAAGTCCTTCTACAAAATGATATTGATAAATTTTAAAGGGAGTCAATCAATTAATCCAATCTCTTATCAATGATTACGTTGTCTCACCGTAAATGGTCTGCAATGCATGTCACGACTGGTTCTTTTCCAGCCTCTATCGCAACATCCAATGCATTCTGGTTATAAGCGTTATACGTTACATTTTGAGAATCATGGGATAGGAGATACGTCACTATGGCTGCATGTCCATTTTTGGCGGCCAGGTGCAAAGCAGTGTCCTAACAAGGAGTGAAGAGGGAGATTAATATGATAAGATTCTCCCTGCCAAATGTTTTAGACATTTTATTTCTTAACAATATCGTAAATGTATTCAGGATTTTGCATGTGTATCCGTACGCGATAACAGCTAAAGCTCATGCACAGGGTCGAGACAACTGTTTCACTTTTGCCACAAACATTTATTCTTCAAAAACAAAATTCGCAAGAACTAGTTTTCCGCGCAATGTCCGAAATCTGGTTGACGCACGGTTACACGAAAGAGACCTTTTGTGGGACACAAAAAGCCAGTTTTGTAAAGCGGCCGGGGAGCTACGTTCAAATCAAAGAAAAATGGCTTGGGTTCTCGATTTAATTTTACGCTTTCTTAAGAGATTTTCTCACCTGGTCAGGGTTGTCTTCGACATTAATAAAGTTCGGACTCGAAGAGCAGATCAATTGAACACTTTTCAGCGATCCTTTAGCTGCGGCGAAATGTAGAGGTGTCCGGCCGTCTGTATCCCTTAGTAAAATGAACAACAACAATCAAATTATGGAACAATTTTTTTGCGGTTACTGTTCATAAACTAGGCAAGACCTCTTTTAATCTAGGGCCGCATAGTTTCCCATCTTGTCTCAAGAAAAATTTACTTCACTTCCAATACGTTGATTAATATGGGTGTAAGCATGTTCCACGTGCTTGCTAGATTGTTTTATCGGTGAGATAGCTTCTTATTTAAAAGTTAGAAATTAGACGAGTCCTGAGAACACTTCGATACAAATAAATCTTTTTTTCTCTTTTAGAAAATAAGAGAAACAAATGTTTACGCCTGAGAAATGAAAGCAGCCGTGTTAAAATACATGTATTATCATTCGTTTCGAAAATTTTAGTGCCTGAAATGAGAACCCTTGTCTACTTCACCTTGGTCGGTTTCTTGCATGCTAATGTATGGTTACATGAGGGAATCACTTCGTTTATCAGTAGTTACCTTTCAATTGTAGCTCCTCTGTCCAAAAGGAACTTGACGACCTTGTCCTGGCCGTTAGAAGCAGCCAAATGGAGAGGGGTATGGTCGTTTAAGTTGCCCACATTCATTAAACGTGTCTGTCGACCATCCATCAACTTCTTGACGATCGGTAGCCAGCCATGACTAAACAAAAATTAACAATGAACAACTCATGAAAAGGTATTGACCTGTTTCAGATATATTTTAAAGTTGTTGTACTCGACAGTTACCTAAACATAGTTCTGTCAGGGCACCGGACTCGGCGTGTATGGTCTGAGTTTGACTGATGATTGGCTACGTGCGCTGTTTAGAGGTATGAAATTTTTCTTTGGAAAGTCCTTTTATACCCGCAAGTTTAAAGAACACCCGGTTTCTGATTGTTTTTGACTACTATCTGATTGGTTCAATGGTTGGTTTCCACCGCTAATTAAGTATAGCAAAAGTGATTTAATTCCGAACCACATTTATAGCATTTAGTTTCAAATTGCCGTTAACAGACTTTAAAACATATCTCGTCTATACCTGGCCGCTAAGTGAAGAGGAGTTTCAAGTTTATTATTCTTCAAACTCGCATCAGTTCCGTTCTTTAGAAGTAAGAGTACACTCTGAATAAGAAAAAAAAAAAAAGAAAAAAGAGAGAAAAGCCGGGAAATTAGTGAAAAATGACTGATAGTTTATTTGAGTGTGTGGCATAGAAAAATTGATTATCCAAGTAGCTCCAAATGCAAAATTTCTACATAACCGATAAATTAACATGAACTAATCAATCATCAGTTGATGTTCCTTTTCATATCAATTAAATTGAAAGAAATACACGAGCCGGTGACGCGATTTCAAGCTTAATGAGTATCAGGGGACATCTGGAAAGTCAGCGGAGTTACTGGTCATCATTTTCCAGGTTTTGAGAAGAAGTCAGAGCAAATGGGCTGACGCTCAAAATATCATCTTTAAGAACTCTTTATAGTAGTCACTTTACATTATCAACCCAGTTGATAAAACAAATCATCTTGTAGTACACCCACCGACCCAACACCACGGTTTCTTAAGAAACTTACCCCTTTTACTCATCAAATCGTTGTTTATAATTACTTTGAAATTACCTTCTGGGAAGTTATGAAAAAAGGTCCGGGAAAAGTCGTGTAAAGATAAGGATTTAGTGAATTCGCTCTTTCGAAAGGGTGCGAACCCTAGATTTGCCGCCTTCTCTCAAAGCTAATTCTGTCTCAAATTTTTTGTGGAACCACTAATAGTATAAAGCAATTTACAAGAACAAGGCAGAATAAAAGTAAGGATTTCATCAGAAGACCTACTAAGATTTCTCTTCACGCCAAGTTGGACCATGAGAACTGACCTTTAGGAAACCTCCTTGGGCAGCATAATGGAGAGCTGTGGCCCCTGTGATGTCCTGTTGATTAACGAGTTGTAGTTCTTGCACCCGTGTATCCTGTAAAACATGTTAAATAAGTCAGACAACTTTAAAAAAGGATCAGAGCTGATCCTCTCTTTACAAAAAGTAAAGCAACAATAGTTAATGTTCTAATATTGGAATCGGGTTTTCCAGTTCGGGTCCCGGCGGGGATCATTACGTCATACCTTCAGAAGTCGTTCAATAGTTCTGTCCTGTCCTACTGCCCAGTGCAGCGCGGTTCGTTTTTTGTCATCCTCGGAAGTAACGTCCGCTCCACTTTCTAATAGCAGTGAGACAACTGCTGAACAACCATGAGCTGCTGCTAACAGTAGAGGGGTGCATTTCTCGCGATCACGAGGGTTTAGATCTACCCCCTGCAGAGGAACATATTTTGATAAAGAAGTGTGGAGCCAGATCGGATAAAAGACAATTTTAAAATTGTTGATAGCGGTGGTACAATACGGTCTATACTTATTTACATCAACTTCAAACTTCACTAACACATGTCAATAACATCAACATCAACTTCACTAACACATGTCAACAACCTTTCATCCAGCTTTCTTCAATTTTATGGAACTGAAAACCAATCGCAGATGAAGCAACCACAGAGTCGAAACTTTTTGTTGAATACTCAGTAAGAAGATTATTGCATGAGATGTACTTTTTACGGGGATTTCATCGTACCAGGCAAACGCTCTTTAAATAATGTTTGTAGGTAACACGAGTTAGAACCAAAATAGCGGTTTTAAAAAGAAACATCATTAATTTGTACTTACGTGATCTACGAGAAACTGGACAACACTGATATGATTATACATGGCACACCTATAGGAAAATTTAGGGGGTGGTCAGGTTACAGTAACATGGAAATCCCAAACTCAAAATATTTAAAAAGCTTTATGAATTACTGAGTTTTAGATAACTCAACCAAAAAGCCATGGCTAAAACTGGAACCTAGCTTTTCAGACTTTCTTTAAGGAAAGGAATATTGCTGGTTTAAGAGCCAGGGAAGACCATTAAAAAAAGGTTGCTGGCAATATCTCCAACTGGTCAAACTCAATCTGGACTTAATGAACCAGGCCACGCCCCAGAAACTGAATTATCATGAAAAGTTGAGTCCTTCATGCCTGCATATTCTGCCATTAGCAGTGATAGTTGGATGATGATATTGCTAGTTTTTAAATGGCTCGACTATTTACTTTCTTTAAAAACGCTAGAATTCGTCCAGGTTGGATTGCACGTGAACCGAATCACCAAGGACTTAGCCTGCTCCAGGCGTCAGTTAGTAAAACAAAGCGAAAGAGTAACCGGCGCGATAGTAACTAGGGAGGCCTGGGTCGGGTTACAATTCGAACTCAACTTTCCTAATTTTTTTTACCCCTCTGCTACCATCACACAGTTTACTCCTAACTGGACGCCTAGAACAAGCTACCAAGGACTGGACTCTGATACACTTGGAGTTTTACGACTCATGTCTATACCACGGCAATGGAGCTGATATTTTGATGGAGGGTAAAAAAATGTATTGCGAATTGAAGTCTTGATAAAAATTTTACTTTCGAACAGTTTTGTTTCTGTTATATATAACGCCCTTTTGTAGACTTAAAAATAATTACGTCAAGGCATTCCAAGCTTTTACCTGTGTAGAGGTGTCATGAACTCTTTGTCCAACAAAGCGTGTTGGAAAGCCGCTGGATCATGTTCGTATAAACACTGAAGAATCATTGGCGCACCGAGACGGCAGGCCAAATGGATAGGAGTGCCACCATTTAACCGCTGAGGGAGAAAAATGACTCTTTTAGGAAAAAGCCCTTCTATTCAGGACAGAAAATTGATAGGTAAAAGCTAAAGGCAAAAATATTGAATCCTCAACTGAAACTAAGATACGTGGTCTTTAATATGATAAAGGGGGTAAGTTTCTAAAGAAACTGTGATGCTGCGTAAGTGGGGGAGTATAACAAGGTAATTTTAGTTTTATCGACTGAGTTGATAATTCCCCACTTCAAAAACGAGTGGGGGAGTGGGTCGGGCTCGCCGCGAAAGTTTGTCTGAGATCGTTACTCGGGACACAAATCTGAAGTAAACGAAGAATTGCGTCCCGAGTAACGATCCCAGACAACCTTGCGCGACGAACTCGACATACTCCCCCACTCGTTTTTGAAATGGCCAATATACATTGGCCACCGTAGAGTTTTAAAGCTAAAGTTTCGAGCGGTAGCCTTTCCATTCGCTCTGACAAAGCGCTGACGGTTGAAACGTTGGCTAATTTACATTTATCAACTCAGTTGATAAAATCAAAATTACCTTTAACTTAAGAGTCAGGTATTATATTCTGGCGCATATGTTTGTCTTCCACAGAGCAAAAGGGAGCTGGACTGTATTATGATATTAGGCTACTTTGTGAAAAATGTTGAATTTCTTATTATACAAAGGGCTCTTAGACCAACCTCGTTCCCAGGGCCTTTTCCCAGGGCCATCCCCAACTAAGGAAAATTGGAAAAAGGACCTGGGAACGAGGTTGCTTTCATACCTAAGGGGACGGGGGTAGATTTGAAATCGTCTTCCCCTTTTCAAAAAGAGGGGGCCATTTGTTAACAAATTGGCATGCCTTTATCATAATTAAAATAAAGTGACTGCTCACCTTGACAGCTGTCACAGAGCAACCATGGTCCAAGCAAAGTTTAACAGCCTAAAAATGCAAAGAAAATTATTCTCTGTTTATGAATCGGTGGGCACATGTTTGGAACCCATCCAACTCTCAGGTGCTTCAAACTCTGTTAGCTTGTTTTACTATACCTTTAAAACACCGCTGTCTATAGCAAGATGCAGTAGAGAGCTTCCTTCAGAGTCCACGCCATAAAGAAGGTCCAGCTTCTGTTTTGTACCCCTCTGGACTTCGTGACCTATGATGCAGAAATCGCCACAAATAGATGAGAAAAAACGTCTAGCCATATACCCGTAGGAAGTATCCGTAAATGATGAAAAAGCACCTAACGAAAAGAAAAGGAAGGAATCTACGACTCGACCTTGAATTATACATATAATACAATAACGGCAGAACTAGTAAACAGTAGAAAAAAAGTTTTCAAACAGTGTCTTCTCTCTGCTGAAACAGAAGACAATTTAACCCACCCCCTCTTAGACCTCAACGACCACGGAAAAAGCTGATCATCTCTTACATTTTTTGAAGAACAAGGCCATAATATCCGCTGATCCCTTCTGGGCAGCTACACTGAGTGGTGTCATTTGATCAATTGCCCTTGCCGTAACTTTAGCCCCACAGTCCAGCTGAGGAGAGGAAAAGTTTGGTTGCGACGGAAATTAAGATTGCTTCACTGTTACGAGCCAAGAAATTCATTTTTTTAGGAGCTTCTCCTTATTCCTGCTAAATGAGACAATTTGGTGAATTGCTAGACCATCACATGCAAGACAAGCGTAAAAGTTCGTTAACTTTCTTTGACAGTTTGACAGCTTGTGAAGAGAGACTCTTTGGGAATAAAGTGTCACTCCCAAGAGCGCTAAGCAGCGTCCACTGCCCTATCCATTAGGATACCAAGTGTGACTAACACCGTTGCTTTAGCACTGGTAAACGTTGATAATTAATGCTTTTCTTACCAGCTTTTGGCAAATTTCAAGCGCGTTTCGGTGTTCCAAATGAGCGGCATTATGCAGCGGAGTGTACTTGCCGCGTCCTTCAATGTTAACATTGGTGGTCTTGTGGTTTAGCAAAGCCTTGGAAAACATGAAGAACATCAATCGGTTATATAGAGTAAAAGAGCCAGAAAGCTACAAAACTAGGTGAGATGTGGATGAAAACCCGTCTCCAAAGATGGTTATGGTACTAAACACACAACACCGATCAACCACACCACAACTTACGACGTCAATGCTGGTAACACTGAAAAAGATGCTGAAGACTGAGCCTTGAGATTTTGCACTCCAAGAATATTTGCCGAACATTCACAACTAACAAGTTGTGTGAAATAGGAAACTGGAGATGAATCCGCATTGATACCAGCCTGCACACCAGAAATGTTTTCCGTTTAAATCTGGGCATGCGCAAACCTAACCAGCGATGTCCATAAATTTACCTCAACCATTTCCACGTTCCCGGTACGCACTGCGGTGTGAAGTGCTGCCTCTTCTCTGTGGTCCTTGAGGTTTGGGTTTGCATGTTTGTGGAGGAGAAACTTTACAGTATTGACTTGTCCCGCTGATATTGCGCAGTGCAAGGCTGTTTTACCATAACTGTCCTTTTTGTCGATATCTGTCGAAAGAAAAGAATACGATTTTCAAACAAATTTATTATATCATGTAACTAATTCTATCAATCTACAAAGAGACAGGCGCAATCGTTCACCCCCACGTTTTTCGTAAACCAGGTCAACGAACCGAGAAAAGAGTAAGAAGCTCTTAGTTATTTCTTGCATCAAGTTTAGATATCGTCACCTTTCTCTGTTTTTAGTGATTATCGTAGTGCAGTCTCAAATTTTCCTTTCACCCTTTAACTCTATTTAATGATTACCATGTAAATTCTCCCTGTAATATCCTCACATTATCCAGCAAACGGGTAATGAGAATACTCAAACTTATCAGGTGGAAGTTGTTCTCTTCAATGACTTAACAACAAATCTTCGAAGCTAATGTACAAGGAAATATGTGGCAACTTAGAGGGGAGAATTAACAATCAGATCATTGGGAGATAACATATTCAAATGAGTAAATTCGGGTTTGATATTTCGTCTTTCTAATCCTATAGTTCAGAAATTGATGGAATTGTAACTATTGTCTAAGCAAAAATCGGCCTAGACGAATGAGATGGTAGAACAAGAAGAATTTGTATCCTCTTTTGATATCTGACGTCTCATTTACCTTCATTCTGCTGAAGGAATGCTCTGAGTTCTTCGGTATTTCCTTTTCTGGATAAAGTGTGGAGTGTTTCTCTCTCATTTTCTGCATAGTCACCAGACTACATAAACAAAAACAAAAAAATTTATGGCATGCATGAAATATTAACATTCAGTACTTTTTTCTCTAAAAAGTTGTATCGGTATGAATTATGTCTCAATCCGTCTCAAACGTACATGTCCTACCATTTCTCTTTCTCACTTACTTTCCCTCTTTTTTTTTTTCGCTTCGGTCTCATGGCTAAAAATGAATCCAACCGCTTATTCAGTCTTCTTAGCACAAAACAGTGTCAACCAAACAGGCTTGTACCATGCGAATAAAGTGCACCTCAAGATGAACTGAAGGGATGGGGTATTTGTTATTTCTATGTTCATGTTTATCAGTATAATCCGGCTTATTTTCGAATGACCATATTTGTCTTTATCGATGTAGGCTTGCGTGCAGCCATTTCTATAAAAAGCCTTATTATCCCTTCTTGCCGGAGCTTATCCAGCTTTCGTTGGCATGGAGCGATCAGGAGAATTACTTCCCACACCTCCCGACTGAAAAATGATCAATTACAGATGAGCACCCCTCCCTTAAACACATTGGAGTTCCGTGAAAGTTCCCAAAACTCATTTGTAATAATGGGTGTAGAGATGTATTGTGGAGTGTCTCACCCAGGAAAAGAATACATTTACCCGACTGGAGCTTGATCTTAACCCTGAGCTTTTGATCCGGGATTCAGCTCACTAACTTCACTCTCCTTCCATTCATATTGAACTAATTATAATTTACCTAGAACTGTTTTTCCGTTCATTCAAATTAAGTAAGAATGAACAAAAAGCCCCACTCTTGGAACGTGGCATACGACAAGTCGAAAATGGTCGATAAGTTATGATAACCACGATAATCCATCAAGATTACGTATAATTTGATATTTTTAAAAACAAATTTCTCTCAGCGATCAATTACATAAACAAACTGAATCAGTCGAACGTGTTAATTTTCGTTGCGTGTTTCATGTAATTTCTCACAGAATGTCCTGATACGAGAGTGTTACTAAGGGCGTTATTAATCCCTTCTACACGCATATGCGCATTTCACTTTTCACCAGTAAGGACCAACTAGATAACTACACTGTCAGAAGTCGTGTTATTCAATTTGCTTGCAAGTAATTTCCCTCAAGTGGGCCTTGTTACAGTCTATTGTTGTAGAGATATTATCATAGGAAACTGACTATTATCGGAGAAAAATGTCACGACAATTTTAACATTTTAATTCAACAAAGTCCGACATGAATTTCGGGGTAAGATGAAGAAAAATGAAATTCGAATTTAGAAGGAAACCGAGGTGAATAAAGAAATCGTATCAATTTGTCTTTCAAATGAATGATTACTCTAAAGTGCTCAGCGCTTTCTCTTAAATTCTCGTCGAAGTGAGGAACTGCGATGTTTTTAGCAAAAAAACAACCACTTAGCTGATGCAAAATTGTGCGAAAAAGTAAGTTGTCTAGATTCGTGATTTGTCAGAAGTTCCAAAATTATCACAACCCACCGATGTAAACTGTGAGGCAGTTTTCTCTTAATAAAAAGCGGTACTGTTTACCTTACATCTTCTTAGTACACAATTCATGACTTGTGAGAAATCCTAGGAAGATCATCATGAACAAGACAAAAAATGTCTGCATTCAAGTTTTTGCTTTAGATTTAAACAGCAAACCAGCGAGCACATCTGCCGCAACATTTTAATAATTCAAACGTAATTTTTTTCAGATAACAAATGTGTTCTTCTAAACTGAGACACAAACCATGTAAATGTCATCGTGTCGGGCATGATTCTAGAACAATTTATCTTTTATTTTATTTTCTCTTTTCATTTTTCTCAAAGGAACTTGATGTAAATAGCAATACAATTTGATTTAAACTCAATCATGAGACTGAGTCAGAATGGTATATAGATTTAATAACAACGACAAAAACCGCAGAATCGAGGTAACTTACATTTAAATTGACACACATTTATTTTGATGAAAGTTAATTGGCCAAAAGTAAAGAAACCCGTGTTAAAAGCCAGTTAAATGTCTTAGGCACCAAAGCATCCCAATCACAGGCATTTCATACAAAAGATATCAAATTGACTTTGATATCGACCTTAAATTACAGAAAAAATGCATTTGAAATAGAAGACACTTGCTTTTTCTGAAGATATTGTTACCGAGTCAATGTAGGCTGAAATAAAAACTTCGTGCTTAATCGAATTAAAAGCGTTCAGTTGTTTCACATCGAAAACAAAACTTCATTTTCAATTCTGCTTAGACACTATTCGCCATTATTTGTCTAATTTGAAGTAATAGAAAGCTAGTCTAAACGTGTTAAGGAGTATTTCAAAATAATCTATTATTCGACTTGCAGTGCGCGATGAGATGTCTGCCGGTAAAAACTACATTCTTCAAAAATTTGATCATATATCGTAAAATTTTCGAAAACAATCCCATGCTAAACATTATACCATTTTATAAGCTTTTGCCTGCCGATCCGTAGATTTTGATGTCGATTATCGAAAGGAAAGATTAATCAACGAAACTTTGGTTATGACTTTGAGTAATTCTGAAAACCAACTGATTTCTAACTTTGACCGTGTTTATAAAGGATAGAGAATGGAAAAACTTGACGTTGTGTTTTTATCTGAGCCCAACTGCCTTATGAGCAGCGGCTAAGCGATGGGCGCAAATGCTCCGAAATTCCCGCCAAAATTGGGATTAACCCGAAACGAAGGGCTTCATTTGGCTTCCACTGAGAAAAAGTAAGCAAGAACTCTTACCACTGATTGAGAATAGAAACTTCCCTTGTATACTAGTTCTTTTATCAATTTTTATTACATCGCTCGCAGCGCCCGTGGGTAAGATGAAGCGAATCCTGTGTTCTGATTGGCTACCCGAGCGGGTAAGATGGACCCATCTATGTTCATATCATGTCCATATGAATGTTCATATGGCTTCATATCACTCCCAGATTTTTTTTCCCTTTTCATTTTTTTGTTAAATTTCGTTGTAATTTTTTTATCATTTTATTTATTATTTTCATCTTTTTTGTCTGCGGGAATCAAATGCGGTCTTTCTTCTTAGTCCCCAATCAGCGAGTACTCATAATTAAGGACATTTTTAAAAATTTACGATAAGTTGAGTTTACAGCAGGAGGCAAATTTGGAAATTAGAACCTTAAGAGATTTAGCTAAGTTAAGCAAACATCATAAAGATTATTTCAATTGTCTGGTTTGGGAAGTCCTCCGGAAAATTAGTTCTTCAATAGTTTTATGACCTTACGAAAATCATTTAACGATCCTTCACGCAATTTCTAATAAATTCCGAACTGATGAGTTACATGTTTTTCAAAATAACCAAGATACTGGGTGGCAACCGATTGATCGAAAACTTATCATTCATTATATCAGTAAAACCACAGAAATAGAAATCTATTGCTGTTATGCGGTTAGTAAGAGCTCAATTTTGTTATCGATTAAAATAATTCACTGATGATAGGCTTGGAAATCGCTTGCTTACGGCTCTTGATTGACAAAATATCCTTGTTCATTCCAAACAGCCCCTTTGAATGTCATGCCATTACTAACCGTTATGAAAAGAGACATTTCTTAATAGAATTTCGACGTTCAATGAAAAAAAATTGGAAGCGAGGAATTAATCCTTGGAAAAAAATTATGATCATGACTAACTTTATGACCAAGACTCTTGCATATTTTTTGCCGGCCTATTCCCGTTATAAAGCCACGATTTATCATTGTGCAGAATATATTAGTTCTGGTACAGTTTTATAGAGGCTCCTGTAAATTTGTTAATGAGAATGATATTTTCTTGAAATTGGTCAATAATATTTTTCGTCTTTCCATATGGCAGTTGTGTGAATCGTTACACCGTATTTGCTACAGTTATTCTAAACCGAAGCTTGGTTAAAATATCTCGTCTGGTTTAAAATTGTAGAAATCAGACTTGTTCATAACTGAAGTCTGGGTAAAATGTGCGTCTTTTGAGAGAAATGGACCGACGAATAACTATCAACTTCCACAAATGAATACAAATGCATTTACTTGTGGGTGACAAGAGAGAGAGAAATTTGCATAGATTATACTGAAGACGTGACCACACTTACTAGGCACCAAGAAAAAGATTCGCTGAGCTTACCTTCAATTTGAAATAACAATCACCCTCCTCCTGTTTGAGAAACAAATCTTTCACAAACGCCCGTCTGTTCGTTTTAACACAAGGTTGTGGTCGCGCCGGAATATCCTCATTTAAATCTGAACCATAGTGCGGTAATAAATTCATGCTTATGCTAGTCCTTAGAGAGGTTTTCACAATGGAGACTTCGCTTGAACTCTTCTGCACAACGTTTCTTCTTCCGATGTCTTGTGGAACTGACAAGTATAATGCCTCGCGAGAATTTCGCTTAAAATTCGTTCGGAGATGAGTTGAAGACGGATGCAAACGATGAGCATGTGTTCCCGAGCCATTTTCGTTTGTTTCTCTCAATACCTCATTAATTTTCACTCGCACGTCGCATTCGTCTAACGAGTCGTTGCAATCATCGAACAACCCACCATCAGTGTCTGGTCTCACGCGAGAAATATACTTGACTTTATCCCAGTTTGTTGCCATTACAGGAACGGTAAGAATCCTTCAAGAGCCCTCCGTTCGACTTAGTAAATAAGTTTGCAGGTCGTTTCTTTGATCGTTTGTATGAAAATATTCACATTCTCCATGGCTAAATATGTTGATGGTATTGATTTCTACAGAGAATGCTGTACGATCGCTCTATGGTCGCTTATTGCCGGCAAAGTTCGCGGCACCAGTGATTTCTCATTATCCAGCGAGACCGCACTTCGTTGAAATAAGATTAAAAAAATATATCATATAGTTGTCTATTGAGTAAGTTCATCTTTCATACAGTGAACAATAATGCAAGCCGATCACTGAATTAATCATTTCAAAAATGAATCTCTTTATACACAGAGCAATATCTGTTAAATAAAACACCACTGAAAGTAGACCACAATTTGTCCAAGGCGAGAAAAACATTCAAACTTCTTGTCAACGATGCACCATTAACCTGTATCTGCCCTCAAATGGTTTCAAAGAGTTACCGGATTTATCTGTCTGGTGATCTATTGGTTGGGAAATTACAAACACTGTTGCCCAGCTGTCACTTTTAACAATACTTCTTTCACTCTCGTAATGGGTGGTGAATAATTCATGGAAAATTGCTCTCCATTTAATACACCTACGAAAAGCTCTTAGTACTTTTTCGGAATCAAGGTCGCGTAAATTTGCCGCGGTTCAAAGAACACATACTAATCGATTAATCATTCGATTTAGTCCAAGCAGACAATGAAAATGTGCAGCTTATTCATGTTTCAAACATCAAAATCGGAGATTTCAAGACTAGTGGGAGGTAGATATCTGCAAATGTCAAAGTGCTTTTTAAAAGTATGAAGGTTCATTTCAAAGTACGTATCGCATCCCTGTCTTCTAAGTGGATTTTGACGTATGACACGCATAGTATCCACATGTGCTCACAGTCTCCATTTTCCTTGAACAGCGGTTAAAAGACGTAGAGCCTTGGGAACCTTTTACTTAGGTACCCTATAGAGGTTGTGTGGACTGAATCACAGCACATTGACATACGAATGATCGTAACGTCAGGAATTGAAATTATTTTCTCTTTTTATCAAATTTGTGGAGGTGCTTTTCCACTGCCAAAGACTCAAACCTTTAATTGTTTACCACATCTACATCAAGATAGCCACAATTCTCCATTACAAAAAATTGCTCAAATATGGTTTGTTCTTTTACTTTCAATAATGTAAAATAACATATATGTTACTTTAATCGTTTTATTTTGTTATTTAATCCCTCTAAATTGCCCAGCCTACGCAGAGATAGTAAAGGTGAGCAACACTTTCTCACTGAAAGAAATTTTTCTGCAAAACAAGCATCTGTCACCACACACAAAAGAAGCAGGGCGAACTCCATTTTCCTGATTTCATGGGAGATAATTTACTCTTTTCCCTCTTTATAGGAAGATTTCTAAAAATAATAAAAATTCCTTATAGCTTGTTGCTGAGTAATTGCCAGCCTTGAAGATCATTGATCCGCACGTATTCACATCATTTGCGTCAATGAATTTTTCGGAAAGATTGCCGTCCACCCACTTCAACTTAATTAACGTTTCCTTTAAAATTTGAAATTGTGGACTTTGTGTGACTTCGTGGTTTTTATATAGTTTTTTTTTTTCTACCATTCTCGCTTTGACTTTAATTGGACTTGATGGTTCCAGCTTTTATGGTGCCTTATTGCAATTGGTTGGTACCAGCCTTCCCCTCTCTAGACAGACATAATGATACAAGACCCCCAGAGAGCTACGAGTTAATAGCCTGCGTTGCGGCCGGACGTGTCATACAATCCCCGGCGGTTAGAATGTCTGCGACGCAGGCTACGAGTTACTTGCTATGCACGGCTTCTCAAGTCATCTGATATCAGAGAAATATATGAGCAGGTTTCTGCAAATGCGAATTTAAAACTAATTTAATTCTTTTCAATAAACTTCTGACGGTAAAATTTCCGAAATATCTTACTCTGTAAAATACATATATGAATATATGAGTCATCTATCTTTCCTCCAATCTTTTCTTAAAAGTGGGACATGACCTGAGCGGCAAATCTTTTAGTCTTCGATACTCAATAGAATGAAAATTTCCAATACACTGCTCGTCCACTAGCATCAGGGTATTTTTTAAGACAAACAAAAGTATCTTCAATTTTGATAAAATTCGCGTCGTTACTTCAATATTCGAATAACTTCGTCCATCCATACGCATATCCGCGCTGTTTCGACCGATGGGGAAGAGGTGAGAAAATATTGCATGTTGTGCGATCGTATCAAAACCAGTCTATTTTCGTCAGTCCGTATGAAAACGTAAGGCGGCATTGTTACGAATTCTACCGTGGAAATCATTTTTGAAAGACTATGTTTTTCGGAGCCCGAAACGAATTTAGCGTGCCGTCAGAGAAGATGAAAATTATGAGGAAAAAAAAAAAACTTATTTTCAATTACGAAAACAAGAAGGCTCCCTCTCCCAGTTTATGTTATCGCCGTCTCCCCCTCCCCCTGAAAAACTCATCACCCAATTTTTTCATAGATTGGAGAAGTAGTCGATACGGAAATGGTCTTCTTAAAATTACAACCAATATTACTGAAAAACCGCCTCATCAGATCACCAATCTTGGTTTAGATAAGATAATAATAATAGATTTCTTGTTCCTAAAATGTTTGCGGTATTAGGCTTTTTACAAGAGGAGTTGTTATCAGCCTATGTCAAAAAGTAACCAACCTCTTCTTTCCTTCCCGGCCCCTCCGAATATTATTTTGTTTATCAATGTGCATTTGAACATTGTGTGGAATTTGCGCTATACAAATTATTATTATTATGATTATTATTTTCCCAAGTTTTTAGACAGCAAAACATTACAAGAAGTACGGCCACTGTTTTACTAGTGACTGAGATTCTACAATGGGCTCATGCAAAACCACAAAAGGTTCTTAAAGAGATGTAAACCATCAAAAACCAGTCAGTTTACTGACTCTATGTCAAATTCTCGGTTTTTTTTCATTTCTGATTTATAATTCGCACTTAATATTTCATCCAGTAGAACTGGCTATACGAGGTAAATTGTCCTTCCACGAATAGTTACACTATTTGTGATACATCATTTTCTCAGTCTGAAATATCGTCCAATTGCAACTCGATAGTATTGTTATGAAACGCTTTCCGGGAACGCACGTATCAAGATGCCTTATATCAATGCTTCAAGACCGCACGTAAATCGAATTTTCTCAAATTCAGTTTCATATTTTATTGTTATATACAAAAGTTCGCATCTAAGACTTCTCCCTTGACAATGCTTTCCATTAGAAAACGCAATTATTTAAACGGTGTCACTGAAGCTGCTGATTGTGTATGAAAAAGGGAAATGTGGCAACTAACTGTATTACTAAAACAGTATGCACGCAATGTTATACTTGAGTTGTGCACGCACGATCGAGCCGCATCTGAATCTTACCAATTTACTTTGCACGTTTCCAGGAAACAATATTGACTATTTACTTTGAACAGTAATCTACACGAGCCTCTAATTTTTGGGATTTTTTCATATTTGCTTATACCCCGACACTAGCAACAGCTCTTAGAAAATTCATTGAGAATAATTGCACACAAGAAAACATCTGCTTTTTTTGGCACCATCGGTTTACAGCAGATGCAGCTAATGCAAAACAATTTTAAACTCCTTTTAAATGTATTGTTCCTTTACCACAGTAGCAAACGCTTTAGCACAAACGGTGTCTCGGATCAGTCACTACTTTTCATACACGTCCAAATTGGCTTCTTTATCGCAGAGTTTGGAGCGCTCGTAAGTCTCCGAACTCGTCGCCTTATCATATTGACCAAATGCGGTTTAAATGTTATTCTCGATCAGGTATCAATAAAATTCCTGTTTCGCGTATAGTGAGTTTTTTTTTTCTTTTTGTATATTAGCCTGGTTAGAAAAACATTCACGAACACAGAAGAGGAAATCACATTTAGCACACCGACATGATTAGTCAGAAAAATATAAGTTGAAAGGCTAGGCTGCTTTAAAACTCGTTTTACTTGTTTGTAAACCTAATTCAAGAGAATCTCAAATAGCTTTCATGAAAGTACGTTTGGTTTTAGGGACCCTGAAAGTAAATCTTACCTTTTTCCGGAAGCTGAGTCTTTTTGAACGAAGGTATCGAGAAGCTCTCATTTCTGCCTCTCAAGAAATTGACCTGTCATCTCTTTTTGTTTCAGCGAAGAATGAATGACAACATGTCGGCCCCAGAGGCTATTGGATATGTAATGAAAGGCTTCATTCATAAGAAATTTATCTCACACATCATAAAGTCAGGGTTGAGGAGGAACAAACCAGTCGATTGGAAACCACAGCAACACTTACGATTCAATGGGTCGAGAATATTTAAACGTTGAAATCATTCAGAGGTAGCCAGAAGGTTCAAAGGTGCCGTTCAGCCTTGACATAACTTACATTTTGTTTCTTCTTTTTTAATTCTTCAATTGCATGCCAAGGTAGTTTTAGTGTTCAAAAAGAAAATAAAACAATTTCAAGACAAAACCTCGTCACAAATTAATGCCGTTTGCTTATAAATGCAAATAAATGGGGGAAAAATTGTTATCGAACCGCACTTGAAAATTACTAACCGGAAAATGGCAATTAAAAATTAGACAGCAGTCCTGCTGCGATTGGCTATGAAGAAAGGGAAGAAACATGATTGAATAGGAACAGTGTACTATCAGTAGCATTCATCGCATGTCATGTTCTATTTTCTTGATGAATACCGGATTGACTATAACTCTAATCTCTTTATAACTGAGGAAAACATCTTAAAGGAAAATGGACACTAGAGATATTTAACACCACGTAATAAAGCTTGAACCTTGCCGCTTTAGCTACGCGTGAGCCCACAACATGGTGGATTTGATGGCGCCCACGTATTATTTACAAGGAATAGCTTTGGTGCACTTTTTCAGGCAGTTAAGAAAAAGTGAAGAAAATTCACACTTACACGGCAAACGCGAAATAGGTTACTCTCACGTAGAAACGGCAAAGAGCAACCGGCAAACGTGAAAAAACGGCGAGAAAACGGCGAGAAAACAAGGCCTAAACACGGTGCTAAATCTCTCTACTGTTTAGTTTACACGGTCGTGGTTTTAACTTGAGCTATTTGCCTATCTGGCTCCTTTTAACGGTAATGGTCTAAGTAAGAACTGTAGTAAAATCAGCGGAAATCCGGAAGCGAGAGCCGTTTTTCACGAAACCGAGAAAATTACAAAACAACGCTTGTTATTGGATAAACGGAAATAAGCGCCAAATTCAAATCTTTGGTTCGAAATTTTGTAGCTCATAGTCCGTTAAAGTTAAAGACGTAAGAGCCGACAATCGTTCATAAACGTATATGTCATCATCATATGTATGATGCCGTTAACGTTTTTGAATTTATATGCGGGGAAAACCAGTTTTGCGAACGATTTCTTCATTCAGAAAAATATAATCTGTCAAAAGAGGCCTGCTTTCTTTTTTTCATAAATGCTCATTACTGATCATCAAACGCCATTGGTGCGGTTTGGAAGATTATCTCACCTCAGTTTCACGGAATCGAATGACATGTCGCGAAACTCGCAACACGTGCGTAAGACCACAGTCTTATTTCTCAGCACTGGTTTGCAAATTGAATTTTGAATAAAGGCTGATAGTTTCTAAAGAAACTGTTTAGCGCTGCGTCGGTGGGGGTAACGAAATAATTTGAATATATCAACAAAGTTGAAATGGTAAATTGGCCACCGTTACGGTTATAAAAGCTGACGTTTCGAGCGTTAGCCCTTGGTCGGAGCGAATAGAGGAATCGTGGGTTGTGGGTTCTCGTTGCCACACAACCCACGATTCCTCTATTCGCTCCGACGAAGGGCTAATGCTCGAAACGTCAGCTTTTATAACCGTAACGGTGGCTAATTTGCCATTTCAACTTTGTTGATATATTTAAATTGAAATTTGGTTTACCAAGCTATGGCCGATAGGTAACTTTTCTTTAGAGAAGCCACCTCGTTTGGGAAAATAAAAGTGAGGTCCCCTCAAACCCTGATTTCTTATTTTCCTTAGAAAGAGACACGCGCGGGTTGGAAATGAAAAAGAGGATTGCGCCAGTTCAAAGCGGCCAAGATATTATACCCTGGTGAGTAGATTTTATGTACTGGCATAATTCAGTAGTAAGAGAACATGAAGACATTTGGCATTTCAGTATTTGGTTTTCCCAAATGCTATCCGTAGTTGTTCTTACGACACATAATGAGCTATCCCTGAGATGCCGAACACCTCTGCTGGTAGGAAGAAAAAAGACGAGGCCGAAAATGGAAATTATTCTAAAACTAAGTTTTAGTTCACGCAAGATTATTCTCCTTCGCAGCCGTTGTTTGGGCTCGTCACGCAACGCTCCCTCCCCCACAGGCTAACGCAAGATTTAGTGTACCATATTTCAAATCTATTCCGGAGTAATAATCATACAGTATCACAAGGATGTTTTAAAAACTGGCGGTATTTATATCAAAGATTACTGGTGCAGTACAGAAAGAATGTACCAAATAATTCGCGTAGTGCAAAAATGTAAAGATCATAGAATAAGTCGGCTAGACTTGATAGCTATTAGTTTTGACTAATTGGTTCAAACCTTTGCTTTGAAACGAGGGTAAGTGCGACGCATTTGTTATTCCCACAAGTTTTTGCACCAAACCTCGTTTTGAAAACAAGGGAATTTGGAAAACTCAAAATGTCATAATGAATAAGATAGGCGTGACTGGCCTTCATGTTTGCATCAATCGCCAATGAGAAATGAGTTTTGAACCGATAAGAATCCCAAAAATAATGAATAACCCTGATCTGGCCTATAGATAACTCAGGTCTTTATTATTTTGTTCAAAATAATTGCAATGGTAGGTACAACACAACACTTGTCATATCTCTAAAAATAAGCCAAGCAAGATATGGACAAGTGCTATAGTATTTATTGATTTGTTGAATATAAGTAACAAGCATGCAAGGACCATTCTGATAACTTACATGTCTTTGTCTTCAATCCTTACTGCTATCGCAGACGTTATATAAACAGAAGATCTGGAAATTATTTTTTTAAACCTATTTTTTACAGCGGTGGTAAAAAAACTGTGAAACAAGTAATCACTTATCCAAAAATTGATTTTCACTCGGTTGCAAGAAAATATCTTAACAATATTTGCATAGGTTTAAGATAAGTTTCCTGGTAAACCTGTTTCACCTCAACCGCTGAACCGCTAGTAACAGCAGAGGCTCAAGCAAACAAGCATGTGTTGCTAATGCTTTAACAAGCATTGAGATTTCAAATCTATAATCATTTTCAGACAAGCTTTAGCCCAGATACCTACCCATGTAGCAAAAGAAATTGATGTGTTAAAAGAAGGTATACTATGAAGATCAAATTTACTCTATTTGAATATTTGAGTTGATGCAGACGCTTGATAATCTTCACTCAAAGGTAGTAAAACAATTATTGGTGAACCACAAGTTTCAGAATGTGTAGTCCTTACCACATGTATAAAATGTCATGTATTAGGAATGCATGGAAAACAAACGAAAAAGGAATTTCTATGACACTTGCAGCCATACTACCACGCACTTCGCAGATTTTAAATTGCACATAGATTTACACATACAGATAGAATTTCAGAGTTTCCTCAATTTTGAAACATATTTCAACCATTTGAATCAGTCAAAGTACCTGTACAATAAAGCTATACATTGAAAATAACCTTGCCTTAACCAGCTTTCCAACAAGAATTAAACAATAATTTCTTCAGTCTTGTCCTACGTGTAGACTATTTATTTCTAAAATTAATGTACTATGGAAATACATGTGTACGAAACACCTTTGAAAAAGTTTATAATGCTGCAAGTAAAGAGTTGGCCTTAAAGCCCAATAAGTAATTGCACAACAATAGTCAACTCAAGTTTTCATGGACTAAGCATTACAGCACTGGACTTTCTTTTTCTGTGCATCTTCATTTGTTGGATGTACAATAATGGGCTGCACATTATTACTAGGTTGGCTTCCATCACCACCTGGTGAGTCATGAATTTGTTTTTGGGACACAATGTGGTAGATTTCTGTTGAGGCAAAATAGATTATTATATCAATTGAAATATAAACAGGCAACTCAATTCCAAAACTTTTATGCAAATGTAAATCTCTAATTTCCTCTTAATTCTGAACCCACCCTACTGTTAGATGATCGGTTTTCTATACTGATACCACCTTGACTTAAAATTCCAAATATGTTTTCTTAGTAGGGTTCAGAGTCCAAATTTTTTCTGGAGTTGAAGTATGTATGTATGCAGTTATGAATATTTATGCAGGGTAGCCCGGTTTAGCAGATAGCTAGTTTAAATGGGGCCCTGTGAACACCCAGCCATCCCACCCAAGGAGAGGACGTCCACCACACAGTAATCTTGTGCGCGGGAAATTAACGTCGCCTACCCCTAACCCTGAAGGAGATGTGGCCTACGGTTTATTCGTCCTTGTCCGAGAAGACCAGAATATCTAACCATTTCTTGATATTATAGAAAGATACCAAATTCTCCTCAGTTATTTTAAGACCATGAGTATTGGTCTGGCCAGGGCTGTAACCCTCGACCTCCTACACAACACAAACTGGCGCTTTAACCAATTGAGCTAACTGGGGTTATATCTATAGTTTGCATAAAAGAGAAGAAAAGAATGAAGAGAAAAGAAACACATGCTAGCAAACAATCACACTACAAACACTCTACTGACCTGTTAAAATGTTATGAAATGCCACCTCTACATTTGTTGAGTCGAGAGCTGATGTCTCAATAAACGAAAGGCCATTTTTCTCTAGAGAAAAAAATCATAATTACTCTTTCCGCATGAAGAATAAAACAAAGGTTGCAATGTTCATAAAAAGCACTTTAACTTCCTCACTTTATTGTGCAATTCTATACAATATAGTGTGCTGTGTTATCCTTTGTCCCTCTAAGAAGTGAGCTATGATTGTCATAACTCCAGCTTTTACTTCAGGTATTGAATAATTCTTCAGTCTCAGAAAGTTTCACTTCATGTATCACTGTCAATCAGTTTGAAAGTTGCTGGCAGTTAAGAAAAAGTAGGCAGCCTGGTTGTATGGCAGGGCTCGAAATTAAAAAAAATTCCAAGTCGCCTTTTGGCGACTATCAGAGAAAAAATGGTTGCCAAATGCAAAAATGCAGTCGCCAGATAGTACAAGAACAGAAAATCAGATTAGAGCCTTATTTAATTGGCATTGTTGCTCGCAGCTTCTGGTAGATTGGGGCTGCAGTTGTGGGATAGAGAGAAATACTCGATCTTGAATGACTTAAAACATGAAAACACAAAAGGAGAAACCTGGAGAGACTTTTGCATGACAATCTTACCTTAAGCAGTAAGCGAAAAAAGTAACAAGAACATTTCAGGGTTACTTTAGGAAAGAGAATCTGTCACATCGCATGCAAGAAATCATAAGATATGAAGGCACCAAACATTTATCAAACATGGCAGATAGCCATTTAGTATCGGACCTCCTGATCTCAATGTAAATCTGCTGGCCAGATTACGCTGATTTTCTAGAGTGTGTTTGCACTGGAAAATTAATTACTCGTGAACTGAGGCTGGGATTCCAGGATTTTCGGCTTGTTATGTGTGTTTTAGTTTTTCACAGGAAATTGACAACACAATCAACAGTTGGTTCATAGAGAAAAACGAATGTCAGGTTTCAGGTTTTTTTGATGTTCTCAATTGTTCAGTCCCCAAAGTGGCAACTAAACTTGAATTTTTAGTCGCTAAGTTAAAAGTTTTAGTTGCATTGGCGACCATATCGGTCACAATTTTGAGCCCTGTATGGTCAGATCATATGCAAGAGTAGGACCTATTCTGACACAGTTTCCCAGGTGTTCCCCAAAGTTTGCACAAACCTTTGAGCACCTTCTGAACTAAATCAACTTATAATGTCCAATGCAGTTTCCAGTAAATAATGCATCACTTCCACTTAAACTGGAAAATGGCCATTGCACAAATTTCTTTGATTGTTTCAATAGCTGTATAATTTCTCTCCAGTACTCATGGTAAAATCAAATGAGAGTGAAGCCAGGTATGAAACACTGGCCAACCATTTTGACTTCCTGCCAGCTCTTATAGACAGCCCTGGGTATGAGCAGCAATTACCATCAGCAAAAACTGATTAGGCTCTTCATGCTTCAAACTCAGCAATAATGAGTGCTTAGCAGCAGATGTGAATAATGTTAACCAGCATGTAAGGCTACTTTCATAGTAAACTGGTGACCACTTTCAAATTACCTGCAAATGCTTTTGCCTCATCTGTAGGGACTGCACGAAGGTGACGAAGATCACTCTTGTTTCCCACTAACATTATAACAATATTACTGTCAGCATGATCTCGTAGTTCTTTCAGCCACCTTTCAACATTTTCATAGGTCAAGTGCTTAGCAATATCATACACCAAAAGGGCACCTACAGCTCCTCTGTAATACCTATGGACAAAAACATTCAGTTAGTACAGGATTAACCAAAGCCCTATTAAAGGACAGATGCCTATATGTCATCATTAAAAAACACTTTGCTTTTTTAATTATACAAAGAAAAAATACAATCCATGCTGCCATGAGTATGAACTGTAATAAATCACAAATGACTTCAAAATGTGGCAAGAACATCAATGATACACTTGGCTGCATCTTGTGTTGCACTTTTTTGTTCTTACCACACTTAAACATCATCTGTGATCTAGGCCTGAACAGACACACAGAAACACGGAATTTACTTATTAATCAGGGCTCAGATGAAAAGATGTGTAACACAAAAGGAGATATCTAGAGGTTTCATTAACATGGCTACAGGTCATACTTCATGTGCAGGGATTTCATTAGAAGCCAGACCCTGGCGAATTCCAGCAGCTACTCTCCACAACAGAGCCGGCAACTATGGTCATTCCACCTTCCAGTTTTTGCAGGTTCTTTTTTTTTTTTTTGAAAACAATCAATATATTCTGAAGGCAGTCATCTATAAAAGGTGCTTTTTGTTAATATTTTGTTTCCTTTCCAGTTGTTGGGTGATTTCTGTTGCAAGTTCTAACAATTCTATTAACAATACAATTGGTTTACTGTGCACCATGTTGAATGGACAGAAGAGAGAGACTGGTGACCAATCTGCCTTGATTACTGCTGAACTGTCTTCCGGCTACTTATGTCCTAATATACGCCAACATCTGAAATTAATGAGATCCCTGCATGCGAGGCTTGAAATGCCTTCCCCTACCCCCAAAGTTATTCAGAGGCAACTCCAAGAAAATTCTAGAGGTTCAAATGTATATTTTCAGAAAAGGCATACTAGACGAAATTTTGTTTGTTTTGCAAACATATTCGTTCAACACAAACCGTTTTTAGTGTGAACAATTTTTTTGACCTACCAAAATTTTCACAAGAGCCACTAAACTTCAAAGATGCCATTAACTAGTTTTGGAGGCCTGCAATTATTTCGTCCAGCAAGAAAATCTATTGTCCCTTGACAGATACCTGTCAACTGGTCATCACATTTCATAACTGAACATGGTGTTAGAGAGTTGTCGAATTGCTCTCTCTCCATTCTCAAATGTCTACAGAAAAAGGCTTCAGAGAAGTTGCAATTTCAAACCAGGATTCTTAAGGTCAATGGCGGCGTCAACATTTGTTGAGCAACAGAGTTAAAGTCTCCATGATCTGTAAAAGCCAAATCCTTCCCAACAAAACCAAAAGTAATTGTTGACTACCCACAATCAGGTTTTGCATGGCAAGCAAACAGCAAAGAAGAGAGATTAAAACATTTCACAGGGGCATTTTGGTTTGCAACCAGTCCTTGACCAGAAACAACTTAAACAAAAATGCACTGTCGAGAAATCTTGGTGTCTATTTGGATTGATTGACAGTTGTGATAACCTATATAATTCGCACATCTCAAGTGCGAATGCTAGTACAAAAACAAAATTTTTGCTTTTAAAAAAATTTCAGTTTTTTTGCAAATACCAAACCAAATTGTTTGGTATAGTGCAAACAGGGCCTTATACATTACTCTTTTAGCTGAGATTTTGAAGGTTGCTTGTGTTCCCAGCCAGACAATTTCCCCTGTGCCTAGGCTTTAATAAAATCCCTGAATTTAAAATTGGTTTTAACTACAAAAATAAATAGTTCAGTGTGTTTATCGTGTTTTAATACAAATATGTGGTCACCATCATTTCAAACTTATTTCATTTGTTCTCTGTTTGGTTCCAGGTACACTAACATAGTACAAGAACAGAGGATACAATAAATCAAGCCAGTGTGAAATCATTTCAACCTCAAAATATGTTCAAGTGTAGCACAGATATATGCACAATAATTATTTGGTTACTTTTGTGCTAAAATTAATTTTAGCCAAAATGCCTTTAAATTAACCAATAGATTTTCGTGACGGACAACAGAGAAAGAGAAAGAAAGGTAAAAAAGGCAAAATGAGCTTTTTTTTTTAGTCAGTCCAACATCAGTAATGTCATCATTTATGATCAGAGTGATAGACTTCAGTTAGAAAAATCTACCACTAAACTCACGACAACTTTCAGTATCAATGCACAAACAGATTTTAGTTCATCCTGGATGCATTTTTCAAAAGAAATGTACGGTAATTGCCAGCGGAAAAGAAATATTTCTCGCATGCAAGGCTTAGGTATGACAGGAATATTGATTGGGCTTCTTCGCTATATATTAGTCAACAACTAAATCATAAAAGTTTCCAAATAGGCTCCAAAATAAACTGAACTTAAAAACAGCAAAATCAAAGGTACAACCTTTTGAAAGTTCACCAGTACTTCTATAATTATCATTTCCATAATTGTTATCTGACGCTATCAAACACTTGGCAAATTATTATGACACAAACCAGAGCGTCGCTCAATTTTGTTTGATAAAAACACTAACAATTAGTTAACTGCTATTTGTAAATTACATAATGAGTAAATTCAAGACTTTACAAAAACTCACGCGCTTGTTATGGCTCTGTATCTTTCTTGTCCAGCTATGAAAAGTGAAACAAATCAAGAGTCGAAAGCGTCAATCTACGATCGATATTGAACACCTCTACAGCAGCCGTTTCAACGAGATTTAAAACTTTGTACATAATTGTTTGAAAATACAAAATGCAACATTAACATGACAACGCTAAAGCTCTACTCTTTGTCAAAATAATGAGTTTCTTCAATCACAAGCCAAAAAAGTCTGCTGACAACCGCATTCAACACTGGCTTCCGGGAGGAGCGAAGGAAACAACTCCCCCTTGCTGCATGTAAACTTACACCAGTTTAAAAGATCGAGCAATTCACCTCCAAACAAACACGAAACTCGCAACCAAAATACCAAAGCTGACTTACCTGTGTCCCAGATTTGGGCTTTTATAGTTTTTCCATCCACTTGAATGCTTCTGGTAGCAAATTCTACACCGATTGTCGACTTTGACTCCAAATTAAATTCGTTTCTTGTGAACCTTGAGAGAAGATTTGACTTTCCAACACCAGAGTCTCCAATTAGAACAACTGTTGGAAACGTAAAGCAACATTAGAAATTATGCCATCATTTCAGGAGAAAATGAAGCCATGATTTAGCCTCAAAATACCTTTGAAAAGATAGTCATATTCATCATCTTTCGTCCCCATTGCAATATCCTTCGAGTAATCCTTGATAAATAAACGTCTTTCAAATCCTGAGTCTGCTGATCACGGCCTCCTCCGCTGGAAACTACTTCTGGAGCCAAAATTCTGGCAGAGTGTAGTAAAAAAGGCTTTTTCGAGATTTGATAGCGAAAGATTTAAGAAATAGACCGAAGGATGACAACGATTTTGAAGGGATTGTAGTTGTCACCAACGGGCGGAAGCGATGCAAAATGGCCGCCCTTCAGGTCTAGGCCTATGGTTCCAAATTTGGGAATGATCTAAGCGCCTGGGAATGAGTCTCGTTGTCATGTCTCACGTAGTCAGTGCGACGTCACACCACAAATGTCACGTTTTCCTCTCGAAAGGAATTTCAAAGGAGTAGCACGTGACAAAAAAAAAATTGTGGTTTTTAATTTGTGCGGACTGAAAAACCTGTCCAATCACTCCAAAAATGGTAAAAGAAATACAAAATCTCCAAAAATGGTAAAAGAAATACAAAATCTTAGAAAATATGCGACATTTTTTAAAAACATTTTTCGGCAGTTCTTCCGTCGCCATCAGTCCTAATTTATACAAAGTACAAAGTTAAATTCAAGTACGTATGATGCATGATCCTTCGCAGTAGATAGCGCTATTTATGCAATAGCGAAAATCAGACCTGAAAAAAATCAGGCCTGTACGGGATTCGAACCACTGACCTCTGCGATACTAGTGCAGCGCACTTACCAATTGAGCTAACAAGCCATCTGGGAGCAGGTTATTAAGTTGATTCGTAATAAACCCGTGATGATAATTCAGATACAATGAATATATGAAGTTCATATATTTTGAACTGCGGTATTAATAAATGGCGCATAAATAGCGCTATCTACTGCGAAGGATCGTGCATCATACGTATTTAATACCGCAGTTCAAAATATATGAACTTCATATATTCATTGTATTAAATTCAAGTGTCTAACAAAATGCTCATGGGACAGGGCAACAATAGAAACGAAACAATGTATTCAATACGAGGAAAGTTTGAAATTAACATGATAAAGTTGGCGAACCCTTTTTTGCGTGACAGCAGGAAAAGGGCCAAAGTGAGGTAATTTGAAATAAAAAGTACAATCACCCCGTTTCCGTTTCAGACACTACGCCGACCTTTTATTTCAAATTACCTTGCATTGGCCCTTTTTCTAATACTAAGTGCTATTGTAAGAACGTAGATATTAAGTTGGTTTTTTCGTCTTTTAAAAAAGGGAAATATACTTGGTGTGAACGGCCCTATCCCTCGTGGGCTCCGTACGTGTGCGGTTTTGAAGTTTTTATGTGCGGGCTGTAATGCTTGCTATGTCGGCGAAACCTCTCGGTAGTTATCCACACGTGTGCGTGAGCACTTCGTTAGTGATAGGACCTCTCACATTTTCAGACATGTACAAAATTTTCAACAAAGTCCCACTCTGTGTTCTGATGAGTGTTAAATTATGCATCTTAGACTCACTCTTCCACAACTCTCCAACTTAAAGTCAAAGAAGCTGTTCATATTCAATGGCAGCAACCTAAATTTAATCATCAGCTTTATCATTTTAATTTAAAACTTTCCTCTTAATTACATACATTGTTTTGTTTCTATTGTTGTTTTGACCCGTGAGCATTTTGTTAAATACTTTAAATTCAACTTTGTACTTTGTATAAATTAGAAATAAAGATAACAGAAGAAGTGTTGAAACATGTTTTTGAAATGTCGTGTATTTTCTTAAATTCTTGACATATCTGCTATTAGTATATACTAAAACAGTGGATAGCGTTGAAGGCGTGCTCTAATTGGTTAGTCAAACTCCGAATATTCTTTGCTATCTACCTTCGGGCAACTCGGGAAAAAATGGCCTCCCGGTTTGCATCCGCGACGAGCGAAGAAATCACTCAAATTAACGACGAAGCAGTCCCTGAAAACACAAAGAAAGCGACTAAATGTGGTTTGGCCGTGTTTAAAGGTGTTGGTTTAAGTTTTTAACCCGGAGTTTATCGATAAAAACCAATGAGAAAGGTTTTGTTTACAAATGCAAATTAATCTTGCGTAACCTCACTTGTTCACTTGAAAATCAAAGTTTAATGATATTTTTACAGAATTGTGTCAAATACAGAAAGAGTTTGCTACACCATTTGAAGAAATGTCGCCACCAGCGCTAAACAAATGTCTTCAGATTTTTTATCTGTCAGCGAGAAAACGAGACGGCAGTTTTTACAGCAAAAAATCACTTTCCGCGCGTGAAAATGTAGGAATCGTTGCTGGAATGTATGAATTAAAATCAATTTTTGGTGGTGTATATTTATCTCACTGTTTTAGTATATACTAAAACAACTATTCACCTCAGTGTCGGTGGTTAGCGGTGGATATTTACCTCGCCGCTTCGCGGCTCGGTAAACATCCACCACTAACCACCTACACTTCGGTGAATAGTTGTTAACTATACAGACCTTTCAAAATAAATCAGATGTAAAGGTTGAATAAACGAATAAAAAATCGAATAAAAACTCTCTGAGAGTAATCAAGACGGAAGGGAAGGTTTTTTGTTTCATTTTGAAGTTGTGTCATTCCTTCTGAGAAGTATGGTTCAACGAAATCTTGGCATTCAGTAAATTATCTCCAATACATGAACTGTGTTGTTACTCAGCATCAAAGAATACAAATTGAAATCGACTACTTCTTAGGTTAAAATTCTCCTGCACTAAAACAGAAAAATTGCAAAACTTCGTTATCACCATAAATATCTGTTCTTTGCAACCTGAAATAGATGTCACACAAGTAGCAAAAAAATCAGCAAGATACAAAACCAAATCTCCGGCAAAATCTAACGCTACATTTCTCTCTAAGAGTAACATGTATATGGCGACAGAAGGTACAATCTAACCACAGAAGGAGAATCATCGAAATGGCATGCGCTTTGGAGAGAAAATTTGCAGGTAAGGTGATTCCTCAAAGAAAAAGATAATCGAACAATTTTATGTAACTTTTCTGAAATGTTCCCTGCTAGTGTCTGTATCGTAAAAAAAAAATAAAATAAAATAAAGAAGATAGGTCACTGTGTTTGTTTAAGAGATATGATGGGTCAAACTCACCCCATTTGTGCCTGAACTGCTAATAACAACAACAACGACATTTAAACACGATAAAAATGACAGCGAAGCTGATGTGGTCGTTTCTTTCAAATAAATAAAAAACTTAAAACAATAATTTTTTTAGAAAAACCTATTAAAAAATATATGTATACCAAGCTATTTGCATGAAATTCTACGTTTAAGCGTGTTTTTAATCAAGTTTCTGCTTGCGATTGAACGTGTATGATTTTCGGGAGAATTCCATAGAGATATGGCCTTGTAACAAGTGGACTAGCCAAGGAGTTCCGAGTTCGGCTTCGGTAACAAAAAAAATAATTTTTCTCCGTAGGAGCAGCTTAATAGCAACAGGTGAAAGGTCCTGAAAACAGTCGTGTGCTAATGAAAGTAATCTATATACACCTTTGCCATAATGGCGGCGGCCGAGTGAAGACTAAACCTAGTGCATGGGGACGAGACCACCCGGGCATGGATTAACAATAGGGAACTTAAGCAAACCACGACGGCGACGGCAACGAGAACGTGGAAAAACAATAGATCTAATTGGCAGAACAATAGCGCAGCACGTGCATTTTAAAACTTTGTACATTTCTTAGCCGTCCTTTGCAAAACAATAACGTGAAATCACCAAAATTTGCGTCGTCTGCGAACCGAACCCGTGGCGGAAAATTATTTTAATTTACATTTGGAACTCAACGCTACTTTTATACGTTATGTTGAGTTTGAGGTCTGGCGCCCTATGAGACGGTAAACACATGCAGCCATTTTCGAAATTCTAAATAAAAGTAGAAACTCATTTTTTTAATCGACGTCCTCCGTGGCGTTGCCGTCGTGACCGCTTAAGTTCCCTAATTAATGGCGAACCAGTTGCTTTGGGCTAGGACGTGATCGTTAGACGTATACCAATCCAGGTTGTAGATGGTCTTAGCGGCACGTAGGTGTATCTTCTTCAGCTCATCGAAGAGCGATTTACCATAAGAGCCACATACAACCAAACTTTAAGTGACTGACGGTAAAATTACTTTGAAATAAAAAACAGCTCTCGCCGTAGTCGGTAAAAATACAAGTACCTGAGAAGATTCAATTTTTGTGTGAAGGACTTGATTAACTCTTTTACGTGAACGTTCTAGTTAAGATCACTGTCAAGCCCAACTCCTAAGCACGTGATGGACTTGACTTGATTGACAACGGCTTTTCCCAATGACACCGCGCCACTTGCAACGGCCCAACAAACTGGCCGCGCTTTAAAATCATATACTCAGTTTTACCGCGTGTTTAAGACAACGAAAACTTTGTCAGGGGATTACGCAGCCACGTAGATGGTCGCCGTCGTCCGCATACATGTGAATTTCGCATCCTCTAGCTCCAGCTATATCAGGTAGATCGTTGCAAAACAACGAAAACGGTGTAGGTCCTAAAACAGATCCCTCGGTGCGGCACGCCAAACTTCTCAGGCAAGGTTTCGAAGTGGAATCCATTTGCTACCGTAACTTGAGAGCGGTAATACTTAACCCAGCACCATAGGTCGCCTGCAATACCGACGGCTTGCAACTTTTCCAGTAGGACCTGGTGAGAGATAGAGTCAAAGACCTTTCGAAAGTCTACAAAGGCCATACCAACTATAAGGTTTTTATCCAGTGCCCGTCTCCAGTCCTCGCTCATTTTTACCAACGAATTAAGTAGCCCTTTTTATAAGCCCACTGGTGAGGATGGCCAAGATTATGTTCCGGAATGTGAGTTGTAATTTTTGTAGCTATGGCCTGTTCCATCAATTTTCCAGGGACGCATAGCAGGGAAATTGGTCGATAGTTCTGTTTATCTGTTTCATTATTCTTCTTGAACAGGACCGAAACATTAGAAGTTTTCCACGAAGCAAGGATTGAATTACGTTCAGCACTCATGGTGTATTGAGATAACAATGACGGAGTCAGTTCCTTTCCTGCATATTTGAGTAGCTTTGGAGAAAAATTATCAGGTCCACAAGCTTTGTTTGCTTTCATCTTTTTGACGCTCTCAGCAACACTAGCACGCGATATGGAGATGCTCATTATGCATGGAGTAACGCGGTTGATGTGAATAAGATTATTCTCTTGTTTACAGACGGAAAGTTCGCTTGCCAACTTTTCACCAACAGTAGAAAAGTATTCATTACGGACCTGCGCTTTCTTGTAGTCAGATGTTTCAGTCGACCCGTCTAATGTCTTTATACCGAGTACGGGCTGCGACGCTGAGCTGTAAGCAGCTTTTTTTGACCAAGTTTCAGTAATGACTTACGGTCTTTTACTTCGTCAAATAGATCCACGTAGAACCTGCTTTTGGCAACTCTGACTTCATGCGCAACCCTGTTTTTTAATTAGGCGTACTCTGTCTACATGCTGAGAAATCGACGACAGTCAGCGATAGATGTCTTGGGCGATGCATATGCTAGTGAGGGACTTTCAATTCAAAAATGCTTCTAATGGGGGTCTATCAGACATTTTTCAATTGAAATTAGCGTCGTTACAAATAAAGGATTACTATGTTTTGGACGTCAAAGGACTTTAAGGATATTATAGAGCAACGGGAAATGTAATTTACGGGAAATGTAATTAACTAGAATTATGTTACACATACAGACATACGGAAGGCACTAGATAACATCGACCTAAACCAGATGAGTCATCGATATGTCTGCGGTGTCTTACAAAACGAACCCCTCTACTTCCGCTCATTTGATCGATCGCTGCGAGAATGTTGATTTGAGTTTAAAACAGCAACAACAATAACAACATTGAATTTATTTTTTAAAATTAAAGAAATAAAGGCCTTTGTAGCCCGCAGTTAGCAAAGCAATTCTAGGCGGGCTACCTAAACAGACACTGTATAGGCTCTCTCTCACACACACACACACACACACACACATACACACACACACACACACACACACACACACACACACAGACACACACACACAGACACACACACACACATACACACACATACACACACACATACACACACACACAGACACACGCAACAATTAAATAAATAAATAAATGAGCAAATAAAAATAAATAATAA